AATTCAAACTTTAATTTTATGTACTCATTTTGAACTATATCTCTGTTTCATAAGATTAATAGAATAGAATCTGCAGTTCAATAACTTTTGATTTATTTCGATCTAGTTTAATCCTTGATTTTTGTCGAACTATTTTAATTTTTGATTTTTGTTGATCAATGTTGATTTTATTTGGATAGGGTGACTTTCTTACAAGCATTTGGTTGCTTTTTTAGTTTACCCCTCTTTTGAGAAAATAAACGAATTGAATTGAATTGAATGACAAATGAAATAGAACTGGAGAATGTTCTACTTGATTGGCACAAAACGCCGGTGAAGCCAGTTCTGCAGCTGCATGTGAACCTGTTGTAGTCGTCGCTGCACGTGCCACCGTTATGACATGGATTGGAAAGGCATTCGTTGATAGCTGGTTGATTGGTAGTATGGTTGATTGATTGATTGGTCGGTCAATTGATTGATTAATTGATTCAAAGTTGGATGAAAGATTGATTGATTGGATAAATGAGTTGTTGGATTGATAAAACACGTCGGATGATTGAGTAAGTTGATTGATTGGTTGATGGAGTTGGCAGATTTTTGAACAAAACTATTGCAAATAATTTGACCAACAGTTGCACATAGCATTGACGACGGCGCTTGTTAAATTCGGTAACTCGGCGAATCTGAAGGAAGAAAATAATGTTAACCCACCACTAATTGTAACCATTGTTTATCATCATCATTATCTCTAAAATTGCTACTATCATCATAATCATCATCATAATCATCATCCCCATCATCATCATTACATCATCATCATTACATCATCGTTATCGTCATCATCATCATCGCCAACTGACCTGTTAACTCTGAATTGATTGGAAGTCCTGGGGAAACTCGTTAAGGCCTCAAGGTCGAATGACGAACGCATGGGGAACTCGACCCCCACTGTCATCACTAACGCTCCTGATAATCGTAGCTGATGATGATGACGACGACGACGATGATGCTAAGCTGCAATCACGATAACCACACATACAACTCCAACCACAACAACCACATAAAGAGGATGAAGATAATGATGACTAACTACATTCAAAACAACCACAAGTACAGCTACTACAACAGCCACAACTACCACAACCTCAATTGCCTTGGAAACGACACTTTCTTTATCGATATCGGCGTCGGCGTTTGTGGCCACTACAACGACGTTCTTAGCTTCAGGACGGTCGCCGTTTTGAGACTGAAAAACTGAATTTAGCAAGAGTGCAATCGCCGATGCCGTGTTGCACCTACCTCCTAAAAATGGTATCGTCCTAACCGCCTGGATGTTGTTAATGAGTGAGTGAGTGAATGAATGTAATAAATGAATGAATGTAACCGCCAAAACCGTTCATATTGTTGGTTCAACAATACAGTAAGTAAAATTGTAATTATAAATTTTATTATTAATGTTGTCATTGTTGTTGATATCGCTATTATTAATACTGGTAGAAACAGTAGCAGCAGCAACAGCAGCGGCAGTAGTAGTAGTGGTAGTAGCAGCTGTAGTAGTAGTAGCAGCAGCAGTAGTAGTACTTGTTGTAGAAAAAGACTTGCTTAAATAAAACATAATATAAAAGAAAAATTAAAAAAAATGGACCTCGATAACATCTTGCCTAGTGAAGTACTGATTCAAATAAAACTTTACGTAAGCCGTCTCTGCCCAGTATATGAGAGCCACCCTCGTCCTGGAACTGCCGACATCTAGGGATGCTACGATACTCGATACCAGGTCGGTTAAATACGATACCCTCTCACGGTGCGTATTCGATCCGACGAATAGTAAGAATGCCAGATCTATTAAGCCTGTGCAGGCTGTTGGTGGTTGGTTGGATGGTTGGTTGGTGATTGGATGGTTGGTTGGTTGGATGGATGGTTGGTTGGATAGTTGGATGGTTGGTTGGTTGGATAGTTGAATGGTTGGATGGTTTGTTAGATGGTTGGTTGGATGGTTGGTTGGATGGTTAGATGGTTAGTTGGATCCATGGAAGGTTAGATGGATAAATGGATTGATGGTTGACAAGAATAAGAATTAAATTCCCAATTAAAATCCCCACCCACATCTTTCACAATAGAACCCGGAATAATTGATAGGGCAGGGTCCACAGGTGTATCCCCCTGGAAGGCTGGTGCACGTTGCTCCACTTCTACACGGATTCATGATGCAGCGATTGTTTGCTGGTCATAATAATAATTATAATAATTATAATTATTACTATTATAATTATATTATCAATAATGTCGCAGTAGCATAGTATATTTCAAAACTTTCATTTTCTGCCGATATTTTCGGCATTCTTTCTTGTTAATCTAACATCATCATCATCAGCACTAGGCTAACTTTCTCATCATTACCATCACTGTCGTAATTATCATCATCATCATCATCAGATCCAACATCATCATCAGATCCAACATCATCATCAGGTCCAACATCATCATCAGGTCCAACATCATCATCAGGTCCAACATCATCATCAGGTCCAACATCATCATCAGGTCCAACATCATCATCAGGTCCAACATCATCATCAGGTCCAACATCATCATCAGGTCCAATATCATCATCAGGTCCAACATCATCATCAGGTCCAACATCATCATCAGGTCCAACATCATCATCAGGTCCAACATCATCATCAGGTCCAACATCATCATCAGGTCCAACATCATCATCAGGTCCAATATCATCATCAGGTCCAACATCATCATCAGGTCCAACATCATCATCAGGTCCAACATCATCATCAGGTCCAACATCATCATCAGGTCCAACATCATCATCAGGTCCAACATCATCATCAGGTCATAGGTCATCACCGTTGCAGAGGGCAGCGCTTATAGAACTGATGACGTAAGACTGGTTGAGGGACGAAAAATTCGGGACCGTGATGACGTTGTAAGAGTCCGGATGGCTGGCCATCTGCACGAGATGCGTTCTTTCCACGTACGATCCTATCCCGACCTGACGACGATGATGATGAGGATGATGATGGGGAAAATGAGGAGGAAGAAGATGATGATGAGGATGATGATGGGGAAGATGAGGAGGAAGAAGATGATGATGATGATGATGATGTTGGATAGTTAGTATAGTGGGGATTAATCTGAAATAATAATGATGAACAAAATATCAACAAAACTGCAACAACACGACGACAACAACAACAACACAACAACAAAAAACAACAACAACACAACAAAAAACAACAACAACAACACGACAACACCATCAACAACAACACACAGCAATATAAACCGCCATTATAAAAATTCCTCTCCTCCTAGCTTCAACAGCTTCCAACCATGCAAGGGTTCTGTTGTCATACAGACCGTCAGTTATAATGATAATAAAATTAGGAAAATTGGCTCGATCGCCATTGGCTGGAGTGAACATGACGTCACGGGCGTACCTTTGAAGGAGACGAGATGATTTGTTGAGGGATTTTTATAAATGTTTGTGTCCGACTAGCAGGATGTTTGATCATTTCAACCAAAAAATAACAATTAATTTATGAAAATAATATCTAACCGGAAAACCTAAAACAGTATTCACACACTTACACACATGCACACAAACAACCACACACACACACACACACACACACACACACACACATAAACACACACACACGCACACACACACACACACAAACAAACAAACACAAACCTTATAGCGGCAGCACTATTACACGTCTGATCAGCCACAAAAGGAACATTCGAAGCTTGTAGCAACCTCACTTTTCCGACGTAGCCACCAAAATTCACCCTGACCACAGGGCTTTCCCCGGCCGTTAAAATCCCAACACTCGATCCAACCGACGAATCAACGTCCAGCTGTAGTATGACGTCAGAGACAAATGACGTCATCATCTGAAATTGGTCCAAGTCCATGGAGGAGGAGGAATCGAGGATGAAAATGACGTCACTTCCGGCTGGGCAATCTAATGATGATGATGAAGTGATGATGATAATGATAACGGTAGTAGTAATAGTTGTAGTAATGGTAGTAGTAGTAGTAGTAGTAGCTGTGACAATTGATTTTGTTGAAGATAAAGATGATGGAGCGAAAAATAAGAATTTGATATAAAAAAAATTTATCCCATCATTCCATAACATCAGTGCATTACACCATCGCAAAATGACGTCACGAGATGACGTCATCGCAAACTTGTATCGCAGGTCGGTCCACTTCTTCCGGAGGGACACACGCACCTGGTCGCGTCCACACCCTCCACACACCTCCCCCCATTCGATGCACACTGCTGGCCACTCTGTAGCTGGCAGTTGGCGTTTACTTGGAGGAAATATTAATAATTATTATATTATCAATTATAATATATATTATAATATTATAAAAGAATTATTGATAATTATTATATTGTCAATTATAATAAATATTATAATATTATAGAGAAATTATTGATAATTATTATATTATCAATTATAATATATATTATAATATTATAGAAGAATTATTATTAATTATCATATTATCAATTATAATAAATATTATAATCTTATAGAGGAATAATTAGTAATTATTATATTATTAATTATAATGATATTAACGTAAAAAGTAATATTACAAACAAACAAAAAATCATAATAATTATAACATCCGCAGACGACAACCCTCATTGGATTGACCAGAGATAGCATATTTCTGGCCGTGCTGACGTAGAAACTGTGTTCCCGAAAGGGGAAATTGCATATAGCGCTTAACTGGTACCTGGAAGGAATAATTTTTTTTCTATTTAGTGTCTTTGGTTAGTTAGAAATGTCATCGTCGTCGTCACCATCAATGTAATCGAGATCATTACTGTCACTACTTCCATTTTGTAATCATCATCTTCATCATCATTTTCACTATCCTCATTTTCATCATCAATATTTTCATCATCATCCTCTTCATCATAATTGTACCGTCATCATCATCATCTTCTTCATCATCATCATCATCATCTTTTTCTTTTTCACTTTGCCTTCATCATCATCATCTTTATCTTTTTTTTCTTCTTGCCATCATCATCTTCATCATCATCATCATCATCATTATAACCATCAAAGATAATTTACAGATTAGAAAAAAACTATCATAAACGAAACGAGACGAAACAAGACGAAACGAGACGAAACGAGACAAAACCTATCAAGGTAGGTGCCGACTCCAACAGTAACGACGGAAATTCCCTTCGCCCTCGATCTATCTGCCTCTGAAATGCTCGCCTGAACATCTAAGGAGGGATTGTTGGTGATCACCACAATCATCTTGTTTACCGATGTGTCCTGTTTATAGTTGTTTGTGGTGGTTGTTGTTTGGTGGTAGGGAGGATGCTGTTTGGTGGTAGGGAGGATGCTGTTGGGTGGTAGGGACGATGCTGTTTGGTGGAAGTGGTGATGGTGTGGCGTGGCGGTGGTGGTGGTGGCATGGTGTTTGAAGAGTTTTTTGGTGATTGCTACGATCATTTTGTTCACTTGTTTGTTTGTGGCTGTGATGATAGTGGTGTGGTAAGCTGTGGCGTGGTGTGGCGGTGATTGTGTGGTAGTGATGATGGTGAAGTTACAATCAATCAAACTCGTTAACTGCAAAGACGCGCCGGAATAAAAATAATAATAAAAATAATGACAACAATAACAATAATAAAACTTATAAAAAAAGAATAAAAATAACCGTGATACGAGCGCCATTGAGAGTGGTGAAGACGAGTTCGTTGGCCAGGTAGAGGGCATTTTGAAGGTTCGTCCTGTAACCCCTGTATGGAGTGCGAGATATGGCCTCCAAGATATTTCTAGAACTGTGTGCGTTTGTGTGCGTGTGCTCATTTGTTTGTGTGTGTTTGTGTGTTTGTTTGTGTGTGTTTGTGGGTGTTTGTTTATGTGTGTGTGTGTGTGAGTGTGTGTTCGTTTGTGAGTGTTTTTATTTTGGTGAATAGGTGTGTGTGTGTGTGCCTGTCTGTTTTTCTGTAGTTTAAATTGTTTCACATTTAGTCATCATAAATATCTCAACAAAAACATGCATGCACACAAAAACGGCATAAAATGAAACATACAAAACACAAACATACAAGACACAAACATACAAAACATACAAACAAACTTATTGTATGTATTGAAATAGAATTCGACAGTTGATGTTTCGGAGAAGGAAACGAGCGCAATTCTGGCGACGCCCGAATCAACGCCAGTCAAGTTGACGATGTTTTGAACCATCGGTAGGTAGTATTGAGTGTAGTAATCTCTGTATGTTTGTTTGTTTGTTTGTATGCATTTGTGTTTGTTTGTATATATGTTTGAATGTTTGTTCGCATGTTTGTTTGTATGTATGTATGTATGTATGTGTGTTTGTTTGTATGTTTGTTTGTACGTTTAAATGTTTGTATGTTTGTTTGTTTGTATGTATGTTTGTGTGTTAGTTCGTACGTTTGAATGTATGTATGTTTGTTTGTATGTGGTTGTTTGTAAATGGACATATTTGTTTTAATTTTTGTATGCTGAATGTCTGTTAGTTTGTTTTTATCTAACTGTTTGTATCCGGACATATTTCTTTGTATGTCTGTACGTGTTTATAAAATCTATTTCCGTTTGTATGAAGGTTTTATGTAAATGCGTTTGTATCAATATTTTGTATGTGTGTGCGCGCGCGCGTGTGTGTGTGTGTTTGTTTGTGTGTATATGAAAGTGCATGTTTGTTCACTTGTGTTTTCATGTTTATCTGGATGAACCACAAAAACTAATCAATAGCAAAACAACAGAAAAACAAAGCAAACCTAAATAATTGAAATAGGAAGATTGACAATAATATCAAAAACTGCTTTAAATGAAAAAAATTGAAACGACAAAAAAAAGCAACAAAAACTACTGTTGCTGCTACTATTGCTGCTACTACTACTGCTGCTGCTGCTGCTGCTACTACTACTACTACTACTGCTGCTACTACTATTACTACTGCTACTACTACTACCTACCTATTCATGTTTGTAGATACGTCAACAATGAAGCAGATATCCACAGACTTGTAACATATTGCATCAGCTGTTCGTTTGTATATTCATTCATTTCTCATTCGTTCAAGTGTTAGTTCGTTCGTTCGTTCATTCATTCGTTTGTTCATTTATTCATTCATTTATCTATTTATTTAGCGTTTCGTATGATCATTCAATTATTTAATCAATCAATCAATCGTACATTCATTCATTCATTTATTCCTTCATTCAATCAATCAATCATTCATTCCATCGATCACTCACTCACTCACTCACTCAATCACTAACTCGCTCACTCATTCATTCTCCCATTCATGTATTTATCCGTTATTTATATTTCCTTGTTTCTATTTTTTGCCTGGTATAATATTTTTAAATCGATAGAATTGAAATTTTTGATGTATGTAAGTATGTTTTTGTATGTTTGTATGTGTTTGTATGCGTTTGTATGTGTTTGCATCATCTAAATCATCATCATCTTGGTCATCATCATCATCGTCATCATCTTTATCGATATTATCATCATCATCCTGTTGTCGTTGTCTGTGCAGTTATGTTTGTTCTTTGTTTATGTTTCTGTTGTCTATGTTTTTGTTTTAATATCTTTGTTTTTGTTGTTGTTAACGTCTTGGTTGTTTTTTTTATGCTTTGTTTTTTGTCTTTTGTTTTTACGTATTGATTTTTATTACTTTGCTGGCATGATGTCATAATGCTGAACATAAATGAATATAGTTAAACTTGCATGTCACTGGTTCGTTATCCGGTTTTTTGGTGGTAGTAGTAGTAGTTGTAGTTGTCGTCGTTGTGGTAGTAGTAGGTTTAGTAGTAGTAGTAGTAGTAAAAGTAGTAGTAGTAGTAGTAGTCGTAGTTGTAGTAGTGGTAGTAGTAGTGGTGGTAGTAGTGGTGGTAGTAGTAGTAGTGGTAGTCGTCGTTGTCGTAGTAGTAGTAGTAGTGGTGGTAGTTGTTGTTTCAACGATTGGCAAAACTGAGGAGCAAGAATACTGGATGAGGTAGAGAATGAAACTGTTGAGACTGTCAAACTGATCGACCATGTAACTGTGGGTGCTATTTGGCGGGCTGCCCACTGATTGCAAGAGAATTTTCTGGAAATTATTTTTTAAATTTACTGAAAATGAGGTCATTTTAGTCTGGAAATAATTCTGAAATCTAGAGGAAAGAGTTTATTTTCAATTTAGACTAGAATGAATTGAAAAATTAAATTCATTTTGATTAATAAGTTTAATTTTAATTAATAAATTTGTTGAGTTATGTTTAAAGTTTATTTAAAGTTCATTATAAATATTTTAGTAAAAAAATTTCCAAATTCAAAAGCATTTCAAACTTTTTTCTCATAATCCGTAGACAGCGTAATTCCGACAGTAAAAATTTGAACCCTTTCTTTCAAAATACTCGCCTCTAAACCGGTCCTATCGGTTTCTTCGGTCGGATATTCGTAACTTACGAGTAGAAGGATCATCGGTACGTTCGGACGAGCCGATACGAACACATTACGAGCTTCTCTGAGTCCGGCGGCCAGGTTTGACTGGAATTTTTTTCGGTTGTTTTCTTTGAATGGCTTGTTTATGTTTGTAAAAAAAAGTTTGCTATAAAAAAATTGAAACGTAAATTTCAATAAAGTTGCACATTTGAAGAGTTACTATCGTCATCATTGACGTCATCTGTTCATCCTCTTCATCATCCTCATCACTTACTCTAATCTCAGATGATGGTTGGATGTTCCTTAAAATCCGTCGAATATTATCGATCGAGTTCGATTCGTTCAACCTCAACAAAACAGATGTATCGTAGCTGTACGTTACTATACCGACTCGAGTATTTGAAAAGTTGTTGTTGTTGCTGCTGTTACTATAACCGATATCGAAAGCTTCGACAAAGTTGATCAACATGGCTATGTAATAGTTACTCCAGGCATTGCTACTATCCGGTTGGCTGAAGATACGGGCCGAATTATCGATTAGTAGGACAATATCCGACTGACCCGGACACGACACGCCTTCGTGTTGTTTTTAAACATTTTCAGAAATAAACTAAGAATAAATTAGAATAAAAAAGTTTAAATACCCAAAAATATCATCATAAAAAAAATTAATTGTTCCTTGGTTAGCAATAATTCAATTAGGTATAAAATGAATAACAGTGAATTTGGATGGAATTCAATATTAAACTATTTTATTATTTACAAATAAATTATTTTAATTATTGAATTAAATGATTCTTTGAAAAAAAGTTATCTATTAATATTAAAT